GTGTAGGGACGGGAAGGGGACACTAACGTCGTTTCTGGGGCCAGTTTCTCCCCCAGGCAGGAGCTCGCAGCAGAGACCCAGAGGTTGCCCTTCATAGGGAAAAGGCACTGGATTTTGAGTCACAGTGTGACCTGGGCAACTTCTTATGGACCAGGCTGGGAAGACAAAATGTAGGGCCGTTAACCATGAACCAATGATGGGATGATAAAGGGGCAGAGGCTGAGCAGGGACTGCCCTGGGCAGTGGGGGGCAGGGCACTTTAGCTGGGTGTTTGGGGAAGCCGTAGGATGGGATGTCACCCATAGGGTGAGTGTATTGGAGCCAGAGGGTCCTGATGAAGCTGGAGAGCAGGGCCGAGGGGGCCACTTGGGGGTCTCCCATGGCCCTGGCCTGGCCTGCTGGTGCGTGTTGGGCTGGCACATGGTTTAAACATTATTCATTGTAAGAGTGCCTTTTAGGGTATGCCTGCAGGGCCTCTCCACTCCCTGGTCTCCCACTGCTCTCCTGGACCTTCCTGATTCTGATGGGCTGGCGTCAATTGCTGGACTTTGTCTGCAGGCAGTAGGGAGCCCTTGGGGGAGATTGAAGCGGGGTGACAGAAGCTGAGGCAATTTGAGAAAGCACCCTAAGGCTGCTGGGAAGAGAACAAAGGAGGGGCCGGGTAGGGGCTACTGTGGCCGGTCACCCAAGCAGCAGCACCAGGTTGGCAAACGTTCCCAGTGCCTCCAGCACACCGGACACTGCTCTAGGCACCAGAGACACAATGGTTGAGAGTCCGCCTGCTGATGCAGGGGACGCGGGTTCGTGCCCTGGTCCGGGAAGATCCCACATGCCGCGGAGCGGCTGGGCCCGTGAGCCATGGCCGCCGAGCCTGCGCGTCCGGAGCCTGTGCTCCGCGACGGGAGAGGGGGCAACAGTGAGAGGCCCGCGTACCGCCAAACCAAACCAAAAAATTTTTATACATTATTTAAATATTAACAAAAGTCTATATTTTATATGAGTTCACTCTCCAGGTTGGATATTGTATGGGTTTGGACAGATGTATAAGGACATGAATCCACCATTACAGGATTCTAAAGAGTATTTCCCTGCCCTAAAAATCCTCTGTGCTCTGCCTGTTCATCCTTCCTCCCAGCCCCTGGCAACCACTGAACTTTTACTGTCTCCATACTTTCGCCTTTTTCAGAATGTCATAGTGTTTGATTCCTACAATGTGGAGCCTTTCCTCATTGGCTTCTTTTTTCACTTCACTTTTTAAGTTTCCTCCAAATGAGCTTGATAGCTCATTTTATTTATTTATTTATTTTTAATTTTTTGTTTTTGTTTTTGTATTTTGGCGGTACGCGGGCCTCTCACTGCTGTGGCCTCTCCCGTTGCGGAGCACAGGCTCCGGACGCGCGGGCTCAGCGGCCATGGCTCACGGGCCCAGCTGCTCCGCGGCACGTGGGATCTTCCCGGACCGGGGCATGAACCCGTGTCCCCTGCATCGGCAGGCGGCCTCTCAACCACTGCGCCACCAGGGAAGCCCTTGACAGCTCATTTTAAAATATTTCTCAGTAATATTCCATCATCTGGATGGACCACAGTTTATTCATCTATTCACCTACTGAAGGACATCTTGGTTGCTTCCAAGTTTGGGCAATTGTGAATAAAGCTGTGCACATTTTTGGTGTGGAGCTAAGTTCTCAACTCCTTGGAGGAAATACCAAGGAGCACGGTTGCTGGATCATACGGTAAGGGTACACTGAATTTTGTGAGACACTGCCAAAGTCGCCGTACCATTTTTGCATTCCCACTAGCAGTGAATGAGAGTTCCTGTCCAAGACACTGTTTTTCAAACTTTTCTCCTGGGTGGACCACACCGACCACGAGTTTTTTTTTTTTTTTTTTAACTATCATGGCTCACGGGCCCAGCTGCTCCGCGGCACGTGGGATCTTCCCGGACCGGGGCATGAACCCGTGTCCCCTGCATCGGCAGGCGGCCTCTCAACCACTGCGCCACCAGGGAAGCCCTTGACAGCTCATTTTAAAATATTTCTCAGTAATATTCCATCATCTGGATGGACCACAGTTTATTCATCTATTCACCTACTGAAGGACATCTTGGTTGCTTCCAAGTTTGGGCAATTGTGAATAAAGCTGTGCACATTTTTGGTGTGGAGCTAAGTTCTCAACTCCTTGGAGGAAATACCAAGGAGCACGGTTGCTGGATCATACGGTAAGGGTACACTGAATTTTGTGAGACACTGCCAAAGTCGCCGTACCATTTTTGCATTCCCACTAGCAGTGAATGAGAGTTCCTGTCCAAGACACTGTTTTTCAAACTTTTCTCCTGGGTGGACCACACCGACCACGAGTTTTTTTTTTTTTTTTTTTAGAATGACCACGAGTTTTTAGGTGAATTCAAACAAACAGAAACCTAATTACAATTTAGACACAGAGACAAAGCATAATCAAAAA